TTTTTTTTTTTTTTATTGCTAAGTATTTTACTCGATAATAGTGAGAGAAAAATCCAGAGAATACTATAGTTTATAAATATGCGTGGAACATATCAAATTATTTCGTATATATATGTTTGTATTTACTTGAACCACATTGTAATCAAATCAAAATTTCTGAATAATGTTTTTTTTAATGACATGTATTTCTAAATAAATATAATATAATTTATTATTAGTTACTTGCACCGTATGGATCGTGTACCAATTTTAAATAGATATATTTAATATAATTTTGCACAATTTATATTTCATATAATCTTTTCTAACAAATTAATATAGGTAAGTTGTATTATATATTGATTTTCATATTTTTAATTTATGAATATTATTTAATGAATATTTTTAATTTATAAAAATTAAATAATATTTCTTACCTGGGCATCGCACGGAATTTATACTAGTGAAAATCTAAATAGAATTGTTTTTTTCTTCTAATTTAGCATATTCGTCGAATAATAATTTATGGTATTAAAATCTAAATAAGATTGTTTTTTTCTTCTAATTTAGCATATTCGCCAAATAGTATTTATAGGGGGATTGCATACATTTTGATTACTATTTATTCATCCACCAATCAAATAATCCTAGTACAGATCTGGTGCAATGCACCAGGTGCACAATATTAAGGTCATTTATCAAGTCTTATAATTATATAAATGAATAAAAAAAAATATACGGGATATATATAGTACGTGACCTGTAATAGACCAAAATGTGAACACGGGTGATGCACGAAGTGCACAATTTTAAGGTCATTTATTAGTATAGAGTCCGTGCGATGCACGGGGTGCACAATTTTCAAGTAGGTGTAATACAAATACATATGGTATGCACTGGACATAAGCACTAAATGAGTTAGTTGCACAGAGTTTGCCCGTTAAGTAGCTCCTGAACATGGGTGCACAATTTGTAGTATGTACTATAAAATCAGAACAAATTTCCATACAATTAGATTATAAAGAATTTTTTTTTTTTTTTATTTTAGTAAAGATTTTACGTACTTTTTTTACTTATCGGATGTTATGGGATTTTTTTGTTAAAACGATTTTATGGGATATAATACAAATACAATTAGAGGATTGAACAAAATCAGAACATATTTTATACAATTAGATAATAAGAAAGAATTAGATAAGAAAAAAAAAAAATAGATAAAGAATTTTGAATCTACCTTTTTTTAGTATAGATAGACTTTAGGTACAAATTTTGACTTTACCGATCATACGAGATTTGTTTTGACAAAATCAAAGACGAACACTGAAGACTGTTTCTATTAACATTTACGATGTGTATTTAATATTTTTTTTAGCCAAAATATTCTTTTTAAGTGTGATATATAAATATTAAAAATATTTAAAATATTTTATAACATCCATAAAAACATCTAAAATATTTTATATTATTCACAAATGATGTTTGAAGCTGTCTATTTTTTTCTAAATTATCCGTAAGGAAAATATGTATAAAAATTCTTCATTTAACCTCCATATATGTATATATATATATACATATATACATATATATATATATATATACATATATATATATATATATATAGAGAGAGAGAGAGAGAGAGAGAGAGAGAGAGCAAATGTGTAAAAAAAATTATACAAATAATATTTAAAAGTATCTAAAATATTAGTAATTAGACAGGTAAAATTTAGATTTTTAAAAAATCTATATAGACAATGAATTTATAGTAGTAATTAGACTTTTATTTATTTACCTTTAAAGTTGTTACGAGGGATTTGATTTTTTTACTCGTGGAAATGGAATTTTATAAGCTGAGTTATGAAATTTTTCTTAAACTCGTCCATATCTATGCGATGAGTTTTTTAAGCTGTGTATATAGATTTAAATTTCTAATGAGGAAGTCAATTTCCCTTTTTGTTGTAAAAAAAAAAAAAAAAAAACTTTCATAAATCATTTGATTTGATATTTTCAGAGAACTTCATTAATTTAAAAGTGTAAAATAAATAAAATAAATAAAGTACAACTGAAAAAGTTATAATCAATTGTATGGAGAATTGAACTAAATTTAATTTTGTAGAATGCATTAAATATTGATTAGATTTTATATGTAAAACAAAATAAAAAATAAGTGGAATAGTTTTACGTATTGCAATATTTTATATTTAAAAATAAAAAATCTTATTTTACGTATTGCATACCAACATTTTAGGAAATACATGGATATTCCTAAATTAATATTGCATACTCAATATTTTAGGAACTAATTAAATGCTAATTTGATTTGCATACCACAAATATTAGATGCATTAATTAAATGTTTGATAAAAATAGCAAATCATTAATTAAGGTTG